CTGGTCCCAAACACTGACTAAGATACAACTCTATTTCAGAGCACTTTCCAGTAGAGTTGGTAAGACCTTCTACTGATAATCATGATGACAATCTCACTGCTAAAAAGACCCTAAAATAGAAAGTTCTGAAATGAAATGGAAGATGAAGTGGCTGTGCCTAGTGGGGACATCTGGAGGTAATACATGAGATGGATGGGAGGGTTATATTAGACAGGATATTGGACTTTTGTAGGCAAAGGCAAGAAAGGGAGCGGGCCGTGGAGTGTTCAGGGAGCAGTAGATAGCTCCTTTTGCCCAGGGCCGTGGGACTCACGTTTACAGATAAGACAGAAGAGATGGTTTGGAATCTCTTTTAGGGAAACCATGAATGGCAGCTTGAAGAGCAGGGAGCAGTTGTAGCAACCCAGAGAAGTTGAGGACTCGTTAGTAAGGGAATGAAGGGAGGAAAACAGATTTAACAAGCTCATTGGAGTTAGCTTCAACAATGTTGGGATTGATTGGGGACAAGAGCTGTATAGAGAAAAGAAAATTAAAGAATTGAATAGAAAGAACCAGAGAGTGTCTTTAGCTTAGTTGGGCAACCTTTAAACTGAAGTCTGAGTGGCAGGAGTAGAGTCATCCTGTCAAAGGGAATGACTGACACAAAGGCCCTACCTGAGGGACTACACCCAAAGATGACAGAAAGGCAAGAGAAATTTGAAGAGGACTGGGTGAGGGCCGGGGCAGTGGGGGGAGGGGGAGCAGTGGGAGGTGACCTTAGAAAGAGATGCATCCAGATCACGTAGGGCCTCAGGGCCTTGGTAAAGGATTTAGGTTTTAGTCAAAGTACATTTGTCATCGTGGGAGCAGATGAGGCTTTCTGTTCCCATAAAGCTTCACAGCCTTCAGAAACCCCTTAAGGGTCATCATGAATTGGAACTGACTCAGCAGCACCTAGTAACCACACATTTGGTAACCAGAGGAGGATTTTAAATGACACAGTTTCACTTTCAGAAGCATGATTCTGCCTGCTCTGTTGAATAGATGTTATAGAAGCAAAAGCAGAATCCAAAACACCAGGTAGGTCGTTGGAGAAGTTTATTAGTAGAATGCTGAGAACTTTTTCAGAGTGAGTGATTTAACTTGCCGCCAATTAGAGTAATAAAAAATGTTTTGTGTGATACTAGGATTTTTTTTTAAGTACATGGATAATTAGTGTCATTATTAAATTAGTATCCAAATGCTTACTTTGTAGAATGCTAGATCAGTATACACGAATCTTGGTATGGTGCTGTAGGATAAACACTGGATTGCTAACTGCTGGGTCGGCAGTGTAAACCCACCAGCCACTCCTCGGAAACACTATACAGGGTCACTATGAATTTGAACCGAGTCTATGGCACTTAACAATAACAACAGTAAGCCAGTATACATGGCAGAAAACACTAATGAAGCATCTCACTTGGGAAGGTTTTGAAATATAAGTAAAATGTGCTAAGTACCAGGCAGTGTGGTCTAAAAGTAGAACTGGGATTGCTCCCATAATGTGAAGCAGTTCCCTGATTAATTTTGATCTATTTACAAGGATAGATCAAAAGTCTTGCTATAAAATCTTTGAAACCTTTATTGAAGGAAAACATCAAAATATGAAGTAACTGTGTCTCACCATATCCTAGGTTTACACACTTCTGAAGGCAGTGTTTCCATCTCTGTAACCCTCCCCAGAAGAATTCTGTCCTCTTCGATTTACACGATGTCAAAACTTGACGTCCTTGAGGGACTCAAAACCTGTTCCTTATAGTTATTCTTTTTAAGTTTGGGAAGCAAAAAAGTCTGAAGGGGCAAGCTATCAGGACTGTAGGGTGGATGAAGTATGAGCAGGTGCGTTGCCATGATGGGAAATATTCCTTGGCACAACTTTCCTGACCTTTTTCTCACCAGTGCAGTTTTCTGAAAACTTCCTAATAGGCTGCCATTATCACCCTGTGCCTTTGAGAAAGTCTATCAAGATTATCCCATAGCCTTCTGAACTGATCTCTCTGCCTTGATCCTTCGGAAGCCACTTTTGGGATTGGACCTTTTTTTTTGAAGCCTCCCTAACTAAGTAGATTGTTAAGTATATTACCGAGACAACTTGTCTGCAGCCATCCACTGATCTCAGAGACATATTGAAACACGTTTTGTGTGGAATATGGACTGAAATCCTATAGCAATAATTATTTAGCCACATATTTTCAGCATAAACTCTCTCAACCTGAGTTTTCACCCTTGTAAAATGAAGATCATAGCCACATGCCGCAGGTGTGTTTCTGGAACTAAGCGAGACTGTAAATATAAGAATACCAAGCACAAAGGTTGGCATATTGAAGCAACTTGCCAAAATGGTAGCTGCTGTTACTGTCGTATCAGAGAAATGCCTCAGTAGAAGACTTGTTTTTGTTTTTGTTTTTAGCTGGGGGCGGGGGGGGGGGGGAGGGAGATTTGGTGGTGGTGGTGATGGTGGTGGTGGTGGCTGTGTGCTGTGGAGTCAGTTCCAACTTATAGGAACCCTGTGTAGTATTTCCAAGGCTCTAAATCTTTATGGGATCAGGAAGCCTCATCTTGTCTTCCACGGAGAGACTGCTGACCTTGCAGTTAGCAGCGCAACTCGTCGTAATCCTCTCCACTGCCAGGGCTCCTTAGTGTGGTGTTTGGTTCTAAGTAAAATCCCTTCATTGTTCAACCGTAAACAATTATTTTGATTTTAGGATATTCATTATTACCAAAATTAAAGGATAAAACATCTTATTTGTTTTTCTTGTTCCAAAGAATTGAACTAAATATGACAATTTTTAGTCCTAGGTGTTGCTTAAATAAAGTAAAATTGCACATAAATTTGTTTAAGCAGGAAAGATGATCATTATACCTTAGAATATAAATTTTACTTTAGTGTTTCTTTTGGTTTTCTTGAATAGGTTAATATTATTCTCTGCCACCGGTCTTTGTATTGCCTAATTACGTTGTGCTTTTCATTGTACTTGAACCTTAGAGGCACACACCTTCCCAGGACAGCTTTATGCTAAATAAATTCTTGTTGTTGGAGGTGACATACACAGCTTCACTAATAGAAAATAAGCAAGGATGCCCTTTGGTAACCAATTCTGACCCAGTTTTTGAACTGTTGGTAGGAGCTGAAAGCCTATAAAACCTAAGTGACTTATATGGGCTATAGTTATGTATGAAATGCTAATACAGTTGCATGGGCTACATTTTTTAATTATTTATTCTACAAGTGACATATCATTGCATTCTTATTAAAACAAGAAATTCTAATGAGACAAATTATCTTCTGGTTACCATTCCATCAGTAAGAATGGCCATCCTGCATAAAAATAAAGCTACACTCCACAGTTATATGGAGTCCTGGTGGGGCGCTGTGGGATAAGGAACTGGACTGCAAGCTCACTTTGAACCACAAGGTCAGCACTTCGAACTCACCAGCCACTCCTCAGAAACCGTATACAGGGTCTCTATGAGTCAATACCAACTCGGTAGCACTTAACAACAATATACAGTTATACAGTGATTAAATGTGAACTACTGTAAGAGGAAAACCTACCAACTGTTTCTAATTTTTCCTTGTTTATTTAACTTGGATTTTCCCAGGCCAAGGAAAACTTGAACTCCATAAGATTGAGGAAGAAGAACCCCCACAGGACCAGGCTTCTGGCCTGTGGTAGAACAGTCGAGAGGAAAGATTCTTGTCCAAAGATACAGCTTTGCTTATGTTGAACAAACGTACATGAAACTGAATAATAGAAGTGAACAAGCTCAGTATACTTGTTGCTATGCAGACAACTAATAATGTCATGAGAATTCACTAGTAAACTTCAAAAATTTTCTACTTCTAATTCTCAGAGATTTTGGTGTTCATCTATATGACCTATACATTTGATAGCTACTCTTTGTGACTACTGTGTAATGGGAATTTTATACATTATTTCTCATCTTATTCCTATTTTACAGGTTAAGAGACGAAGGCACAGAGAAGTCAGTTGTCTACCCAGGTCACATTGTAGTTAGCCGTGGGGACCGGGTAGGGGAAGAGGTAGCTAAATGCTGTTTCTCTTCATACTGTGCTGTCTCAGAGTTTGGTTAACAGAATTGGTTTTTAGGTGTGTAATATCTTGACTCATTAAATGGCACAAAAGTTTTTGGATTCTTACTGTAACATCATTTTAACATCTTCCCTGTAAAGACGAAAAGTTAATTTCCAAGGATTTTCCTTGTTTTCCTCTCATTGTTTCACCTCAAGTACTGAATGGGCTCTGACCAATCAGAAGTTGTAAATCAGTTGAATGTCAGTCCAAGTTTAAAACCCCAGAAAGCCTCGTTAATGGGGACTATACGAGAGACTTCAAAAAGTCCACGTAAAAACGGAATCGAAAGATACTAGGGTTTGTCTGTGAACTTTGTGAAGCTCCTTCATATGTTGTTGTTGTTGTTATGTGCCGTTGAGTCAGTTCTGACCCATAGCCACCCTGAACAGGGTTTCTGAGGCTGTAAATCTTTCCGGGAGTAGAAAGCCTAATGTTTCTCCCGCAAAACAGCTGGTAGTTTCGAACTGCTGACCTTGCGGTTCGCAGTCCTATTCATAACCACTACGCTACCAGAGCTCCTTGCTCCTTCACATTTGTTGTTGTTGTTGTTAAGTGCCGTCGAGTCGGTTCTGACCCATAGCGACCCTGTACAGGGTTTCCGAGGGTGTAAATCTTTACGGGAGTAGAAAGCCTTATCTTTCTCCCGCGGAGCAGCTGGCTCATTCACATAGAGTGTTTTAAATTCTTTTGGTCAATTAATAATTTTTTTTAGAAAAATATATTCTCAAAATCCTCATCTTAATTAGCTACTGTATAGTATAAACATTCTGATTTCAAGTTCTCTAGTCGTTCCTAGGTTGGTTTTCTTGGGTCATTGTAAACTTAAAATGAGCCTGTGGAATTTCGTGACTGAGAATCTGCCCTGTTTCTCCCTTTTTCCAGGTCTATTATTAGCAGAAGATTCTTCTGCATAGTTGGCACGCTGTACCTGTATCGCTGTATTACTATGTATGTAACTACACTCCCAGTACCTGGTATGCATTTCAACTGTTCTCCGAAGGTAAACCATTCCTCACTCTATTTTCCCTTTGTATTTGTTTCTCATCTTGATCGGGGAACCATTGATGAAAGCCCAAGGTGAAAATGTCTTCCAGCCTAGTCAGTCCCTCTACTTGCCTCTCATCTGGGAGTGTTACTAAGCATTAAGACTAGGCAGCCACAGCCTTGGCAGAAGTTCCAAGCCCTGCCTATACCTCCCAGCTCAGGAAATATGTGGTCTGCTTAGTGTGTTTGAAGCAGTTAAGTTTTGTGAAGGGGATGTAACTCTTTGGTTTCTTGCCCATACTTTTAAAATACTACTTCCTCCTTGGACACAGATCCAGATGTTTGTATATGCCTTTCCCTGCCCCATCCCCCACCCTCCCACACACACACACACACACACACACACACACACACATTCAGATGGAAGCCTTAACTTCAAATGTAATATTTTCTTTCTCTCTTTTAATTCCTGCAGAATAGTCTGTAACAGCAGAGCAAGGAGAGCTATACCTATCCCCCTGGTACTCCATCCCCCACCAGGAACCAAAAACAAACAAATTAAGTTCAGAATTCTCTGGAAGCATAGCTCACCATTTTGGTTCTTATCTAGCAGCATAGAAACTTTTCTCTTAAATAAACGTGATTCCTTTCTTTGTCTCCATACCTTCCCATTAGAGTCACGTGTTAATAGTCCTTTGTTGTTTACCATTTAAGTTGGTCTTAGACTCAATAATATGATATCTTTGAAACAATTTCTTTGTAATACATATTAGAGCCCAATCCATATCCACAGCTCTCGTTGTGAAATACCGCATGTGCTATGTGTTGTTTGGTCTGTGTCCATGGAGCTGGTGGAACCCCTCTGAGCTTTCAGGCTCATCCCTCTCTACTTTTCTTCCTGCCAGAAGAGAGACTTTATGTGACAGACACTCACTTTGGAATTTCAAAGTGGTGTCTTCAGTATTAGAAACTTTGACTTTAGACTGTTTGCTTACTACGGCACCCCCTGCACCCTCTTATTCCTAGACTTAGGCATGTTCGTAAGCATAATGCTCCCTGAGCTTCCGGCTTGTGCATAATGAGAAGTATCTTATTACCAATGAGAGTCCCATGGTGTGGTTCTCATTCTCAGAGAATGGCTTGACAAACAGCTGCCTAGTGCCTGGTAATTCACTGAAAGGAAGAACTCTGCTTCACACTGCAACTGTAAGCTAATTATGGAAATTGGGCAAGACTTTGATACTCCATTTGATCTCCAAATCTAGAGCACTCCTTTCTCCTCCCAACCATCCCCCGTCAGTCACTTAAGAAATCCTAGTGACGATGTGGTTAGTTCAGCTGCTAACCCCCAGGATAGTGGTTCAAACCCACCAACCACTCCATGGGAGAAAGGTGAGGCTATCTGTTCCCATGATGATTTGCAGTCTCAGAAACCCTATATAACCCTATATAACTTGATGGCAGTGGGTTTGGTTTTATTTGGGATTTTGCCCAATCACTTCTTAGAGCAGTCAGATCAGTTGTCCTGTAAAATATCCCACATTCTGGATCTATCTGTCTGCCTCTTGATGTGATCTCAGTTAACTGTGAGAATATTTGAGAAACAGATGCTAGAAACAAGAAACATAAAAAGTTTTATTTGTTGCTACCATGGGGTAACACATCAAGTGTACAGATTCAGCAGTTAATCAAGGACTGGCGTGCAGTCCTAGGGAGCAGGGTCCACTAGAGAGATGCCCTGGAGACCAGCTCTGCCTACTGTAAAGTCTTGTCCAGGGCTGAGCCAGTCATACATCATGGCTCAGAATGAAAAGGAGCCTTCTTAAAAGTCACTCTGTCCCATATTCAGTTTGAAGTGTGAACATCATCACCGTCAAGCTTCATGAATCACTTTCTAACCCATTGCACAGAGAGGAAATGTGTTACCCGTATGAAAACACAAGTCAGTCTTGTAGTAGAAAAACACTGAATTTCGAGTTGTGACATTACACAACCACTTGACCATTGAACTTCTTAGAGCCTTTTTGTACCTACCTTGAGGAAAGGAGTGAAAGGAGGCAATACGAGAGGGCTTTAAAACCCTTGTGGAAACATCCCATTATCTTACATTCCATTTTTCCATGAACTTTTTGAAGCCCGCTTATCTATAGGAAGTCTGTCAATGTTATGTGTTATAAAGAAATAGGAAGACTTGGAGCCTGTGTCAAGCTGTAACCCTGGACTCTTTGTCATTGAGTCTTTCATTGTCATCTATTCAACAAAAATTCATCAAGCACTATTGTGTCTACAGTGCTGTTAGTTACTCAGTATCTCTCCTAGCTGTAGTGTTTGTTGAACTCCCATCAAAACCAGTTTCCTGATGGATCAGGATAAGACAAGGTGTGGGGAGGTGCTGATGGATTATGATTCAGCTGTGACCAGTTAACAGGCCTGAATATGATTGGTCAGTTTTGCCACCCTGCTGCGTATAAAATGAGCCTTGTCGGAAGCACAAGGGAAGATCTCACTTCCATCAAGAAGAAGGAGCCAGGAGTGGGGGCCGTCTGTTGACCCCTGAGATCCCTGCTCTCTGACACCGAAGGAGTAGCAGACAAGGGGTAGAGGAGAAGCAGCAGCGGAACCAAGGGCAAGAGCACCAGACAGAGCAGTGGGCCTCCCAGTCCAGGGAGCAAATAAAACTGAGGGACTTCGGGCCCAAGATTCACTTGTGGAGTAGGGTGCCTCCAAGCACGTCATTGGGGAGTTGGGTTTGCTGATCCATGGAGCTAGAGTTGATTGCCTTTGGACTGAGGCTTATAATGGAGTGGAATGCCCTTCGGACATTTATTAGCAGCCCTTAAAGGGCTTTGTAATACTGCTGGAACAGGGCAGATGCCAGACCAAAGGACTAATGGCCTGGGAGGAGCCTCCCTGCAGGCAAGGCTAAGGAAAGGCTGTCCTGACTGGAAAATCTATGCCCTGAGCATTTCTAATCTCCAGTTATAGCCCATTAGCTTTCCTAATGGAGTCCTGGTGTAGCACTGTAGTATAAGCACTGGACTGCTAACCACAAGGTCAGTGCCTTGGAGGCCCATGCTATATAGAGTTGCTGTGAGTCAGAACTGACTCGGTGGTACTTAACGACAACAACAACTTCTCTAGTAAACCCCCTAACTGTGAAGGTGGTGTCTGTTCTGTAGGCCGTTGCAATAAATGACTGAACCTGGCTGACTAGAGAGAGCTGTGGGAAGGGAAGGCTGGTTGGTGTCATTTATTGCAGTGTCTTGGCACAGGAGGCCTTAGAGTTCACTGGTTAAAGCACTCAGCAGCTAACCAAAAGGTCAGCAGTCTGATCCCAGAGCCGAGCCGCTTCACAAGTATAGATATGGCAGTCTGCTTCTGTGAAGATTTATGACCTCAGAAGCCCTGTGGATGAGTTCTGGTCTGTTCTTTAGGGTCTCTGAGTTGGAATTAACTCAATAGCAGTGGCTATGTTGTGTGTGTGTGTGTTGCTGTATTTGGTATTAATAAGAGTACAGTGGATGAACAGGGTAGATAGAATCCCTGTAGAAAGCACCTTTAAATCATCTAGTTCAAATGCAGACCCATTGTAATAAATGTGTAAAATGCTGCAGTAGGGCCTCAAGCTAAGCTAGTCTTCCTTGGCATGGAAAGGAGGAGACAGGTTTGAGCCATATGCAAAAAGCTAAATCATTACAACTCGGTAACAGATTTAATGTAGGAAATGAGGATAGAGTGGGGAAGGATTTCAAAGGCCACAAGGTTTTACCACTGAGATAATTACAAGGTAGGGAAGAAAAGGGAGTTAATGACTTTGGCTTAAACATATAACAGTTTGAGGTATCTGTGAGCTACCTAAGTGAAGATACACAGAGTAGTTACAAAAACAGGTCTTTAGTTGGGAGAAATCAAAACTTGTTGTTGTTAAGTGCTGTTGAGTTGGTTCTGACTCATAGGACCCTATATAGGGTTTCCAAAGAGCGGCTGGTGAGTTTGAACCAGCTATCTTGCAGTTCAAACCGACTTTGCTGTTGAGTTTGAACCACGTACCTTGCAGGTCAAAGCTATCTTGCAGCGCAGCACATTAACCCACAGTGCCACACCAGGTCGGGTTCAAACCCTATTTACGGTTATTACCTATAAGTTGGTGGATACTCTCAGACTTATTCAGTAATCATTAAACATAAAACAGATCCTTGTGCTGTAGAATATGACTTTATGTGTTAACACACATGTGAACTTAAACTTGGCCCCTCCCCATCCCATCATTCCATAATTAGTCTACTTTATACCTTAATGCCAATACTGAAAGTGCTTGGATTCTAAGGGAAAATGTTCCAACAAGTATGCAGTAGTCGTTATGAGAATTGGTCCTATTGTTCATTCATATGCTAGCAGTGTGCTCTTTACAATAGGTACAACTTGGAGAAATCATCATCCTATGAAATAATGAGATTAGGAATAGAGGTTAACAATGATGAGCACTCAGACACCTGTACAGGGAAATCGGTGTGTCCCATTCCTAATAAGGAATTCTGAGAAGCATTTATCTCTGTCCTTGTGTATACATGTGTAGGACTTACACTTGAGGCTGCCAAGTTTTTGGCACCAAGTTTTTGTCCCTGTTAATTGTACTGTCATATAAGGTCACTATGAGTCAGAATCAACTCAACATCGACAATGCACAACAACAATCTCATTACAGCATTTTCCTGAAAAACACGTGTTTAATCCAGAAAGCAGCTGTTGTCATCTTGCTACAACTGTTTATGATTCTGGTGGGGTGGGGGTGGAGAAAGAAACATTTGTGAGTTCTTTGGTTTAAGTGTTCTATAGGAAAGTTTGTGCTGATTTGTCTTGGCCAACTTCTAAAATACAATCCCCTAGTCTCCAGGCACATCCACAGCCTAGCACTAATGTTGTGGTTGTTAGGTGCCATCAAGTCCCTACTCATAGTGACCTTATGCACAATAGAACAAAACACTGCCCAGTCCTGGGCCAACCTCACAATCCTGG